ACGATGGCCGTGAGAGCACCGTGCCTCCCCCCTCAGTGTGGGCTCTGGCAGAGCATCAGGTTTTTGGGAGGACGATGGCCGTGAGAGCACCGTGCCTCCCCCCTCAGTGTGGGCTCTGGCAGAGCATCAGGTTTTTGGGAGGACGATGGCCGTGAGAGCACCGTGCCTCCCCCCTCAGTGTGGGCTCTGGCAGAGCATCAGGTTTTTGGGAGGACGACGGCTGCAAGCAGACGCTCGGGGTGTCCCGGAGGCGTCGGGGAGCCTCGGGCCGCTGTCGCTGCACAGCACCGAGCCCTGGTTCTTGCAGCTTGCGACATATCAGCCTCTAATATAAAACAGTTAAAGCTGGATAAACCGAGACAGTAATCATAGCCAGGAAAGGGCAATTTTAAAGGCTAATCCCTCATGGCTTTCCAAAGCAGAAAAAACACTTTAAGGGGCTATAAAAACGTTTCCAGGACTAGATGTTTACCACAAGTGGTTCTTGGTCACTCGTTAGCAAAGACCGTTGCTGGTATCCACTGTTCATGGATAATGTCTTCAAAATCCTTCAACCCAAATCATTCCACTATGCAGTAATGAGCAGCGTCTTTTTTAATGAAGTCGCTGTAGTGATTATTACATAAATACATAATTACAGCTAGGTTTTAAGAAAACAAACAAAACCGTATAGTATCTGCATCCCAGACTGCTAAATGTGCTCGTTGGGCCTCTCTAAGCATTTCATTTTGAAGACTTCAGATATTAAAACTGGCAGTTAGCAAAAGCTCCTGTCACTTTAGCAGATGACAGCTGATGACTTAGTAAGAGAAATAAATCTGTAACAGTAAAATAGCTTCTCCGGAGGATTAGACTAAACACAGCAGAGCTACATTGGTGTGAGAGAACCCCCCCAAAAGGGGAGGAATAAATATGAGAGCTGATGTGGGGCCTTGCTAGGCTGGGACCCCGCCGTGCCTGCTGCTTGCTGGTGCTCTCATGTCGCCCACCACTCTTCCAGAGTGGACCTGGGGCTTGGTGCTCCACCACTTCCCTCTGTCACTTGCAGGTGCAAAGAGGAATACTTGGGATAGGGTTATTAAGTGCCACAGGGAAAACACTTCCACCTTTGTGGGCTTTTTTTCATAGAATCATGGAATGTTTTGGGTGGGAAGGGACCCCCAGAGGTCACCCAGCCCAACCCCCCTGCAGGAGCAGGGACACCTTGAACCACATCAGGTTGCTCTTCCTCTGGGCCCCCTTGAAGCCCTGAGCGGCCGCACTCAGCTCTGCCCGCAGCCTTCTCTTCTCCAGGCTGAACACCCCCAACTCTCCCAGCCTGGCCTCAGAGCAGAGGGGCTCCAGCCCTCGGAGCATTTTAGTAGCCCTCCTCTGGCCCCGCTCCAACAGGTCCACGTCCTCCTTGTGCTGAGGGCTCCCGAGCTGGACGCAGGGCTCCAGGGGAGGTCTCCCCAGAGCAGAGCAGAGGGGCAGAATCCCCTCCCTCGACGCTGGCCACGCTTCTCCTGCTGCAGCCCAGGGTAGGGTTGGCTTCTGGGCTGCCGGCGCCCATGGCCGGCTCATGGCCAGCTTTTCATCCCCCAGCACCCCCAAGTCCCTCTGAGCAGGGCTGCTCTCCATCCCTCCATCCCCCAGCCTCTATGGATAGTGGGGGTTACCCTGACCCAGGAGCAGAGAAGGACATGTAGGGAAGGGCATGTTTATTCAAATGCTGTAACGTCTCTGGAGCGAATATGAGACTGTTGAGGGGGAAAATGAGAAATGGTGGTGGTCTCCAGCTGCGGATACCTCTATAACTCTTTACTGCTCTACGGTGAGCCAGATTCTCATTTACAGCAAAGTGGCTTTTTTTGTCTGTCTGCCAGTGTGAAGAAGTTTTAAAATGGGTTAACGGATGGAAGTTGCTTCTAAATAATGTATATTTATGTCCATGGTAAAGCCACAGTCCCCAGTATCCTGCAGGGGCTGTAAGTCTGCCTGAGAAACTGGCCTAGCAGTGTCCTGTAAAAAGTGTATAAATTAAGGTAGCAATTAAGGTAGTTTGAATATTGGCATCTTATTCTTTTAACTGATTTATTTTATGTACTTTTTTTTGTAATTTTTTTTTTTAATTATTATTTCCTTTAAAGTGCCTGTCAACATCTGCGGGTGTTCCTGCTCCCATTTTCCGGAGCGTTGGATGCTAGGGCTGACCACTGCACACCTCTCGGGATGGGGCAGATGATTTCTGCTTGCCGCTGCGTGATGGAGCCCAGGCACATCGTTTCCAAACCACTCTGTAACTCGTGCGTCTGTCTGTCCCCGCGCACCGTTAGCAGTTCCAATTAGCAGCAAATTTAACGACAGGGGTGTGAAAGGGACTGCCTGACCTGGGCTGGCCAGCCGAGATGAGCCCGGCTCAAAGGGTCAGTACCCGTAGAGCCCAGAGGATGCCGCAGTGGTGGGCATGATGCTGGGGGAGGATGGAGCAGGACTGGCGCCCTTGGGGTCACTTTGGCCAGAGAGGAGCGGGCAACAAAGAACTTTGCATTTTCTGAACTGTTTTTTAGATAAAAAGGAAATGCCAATTCCAGGACTGTGTTTGGCCCGTACAGGCGGAGGTGCATGGAAAAAAAATCCAGTTGTAAAAGAGAAAAGAAATGTCTGCTCTCTGCCTTACAGAGCTCTCGCCTGGGGCTGCTGAGCCACTGGGCAGACTTTTTGCTTCATTTTTTCCTTCTGACCATGATGAATTACTTTTTTTACAGCAAGCAGCAAGATAATAACAGGAACAACTTTTGGTGTTCAGACGGTACGTTCTGGTAACTGGGCAGCCGTGTACTATTCATTATGAAATAACTTTCAGATAATGTAGGCAAAATTGCATCCTGACCTAATAAAGGGAGGTTTCAAATATCAGTTATAAAATGCAAAATTTCAGGAGGAAATTGTTATGAGATCTTTCCTCAAGGGAAAGGGCAGAATAGTTGAAAATTCTTCCAAGATACAAATAGTATCAGAACTTTTGGTAATGCTCTTAACAGGTTTGGACATAGCACACTCCTCGCAGAACAACTCATGTTTCACAGCAGCTTTTGTAGGATAGATTTCAAGTTGGCCACGCAACTGGTAAAAAAGCAAAGAAAACCGAGCTGCTCTCAGAATACAAGCCTTGCAGACCTTACATTTGTCATGAAAATCTTTAATTCCGTTCTGAATGTGGTTTATTCGGGATTGCGGAGCAAGCGTGCCCCTGTAAGGTGGGGCGCTGGGACACCTTCAGTGAGAAGTGAGTCTCAAAAGCAAGTGGGAATCTCTTGGTTCTGGCCTAGTAGCAGGTGAGATGGGGAAGGGAAATTAGGGACGTGGCTGGGGTATGACAGAGAGCAGGAAAGCAGGCGTGGGTAACGAGATGTTTTACGTGGGTAAAGCCCACGATGGCAGACAAACCTGCCTTTCTCTGTGTCCTGAGGTTGGTAACGCTCCAACCTTAGTGGAGAGGAGGAGAGGCACGTGGTGGCTCCCGGGCTTTCCCAGCGGGGCAGGGATGGGTGTCTGGTCTATAATACGCCTGTGGTGGTGTAACAGTGGGCTGGGGAGCATTTTCTGGCTTGCTTCCCACCATGCTGGAGACCCCTCAGCTCTGCCCCTGTGTGACACAGGTACCGAAGGGAACCCTCTGAGTTCCTGGGAGCGCGGCGGGCTGGGGTGAGCTCTGCCACCAAAGCATGGGGGGCTGGGGTGAGCTCCACCATCGAAGCGCCGGGGGCTGAGGTGAGCTCCACCACCGAAGCGTGGGTGCCTGGGGTGAGCTCCACCACCGATGTGCTCCCCATGCAAGTGGGGCTGGCAGAAA